GCCGGTTGAGCTATAGGCGCCGAGCCGAAATCAATTCTTATTTAAAATTCAAGCACTTCTACTTTGTGGTTCTGCTTATGCCTCTTACAGCCCCTTTGGACAAGTTGTTAATTTTTTTGACTCAGTTACTTCATCTATAAAATGGGAATATGATAGCGTTTCTTATCCACCTTACAGCGTTAGGAGAATAAACAAAAGCACCTAAAGAACCAAATAGATAGGGAGCATTAAAGTGGTTTTCTGGTGATAGCAAACCACATGATTATATTTAGGATAAAAGTATTAGAATTTCCTTAAATACTACTTTAGTCACAAAGGAGAACTGCAGTTTTAATTTCTCTTTGCCCAAAGGTCTATTTGCATCCACCCATTTATCTCCCAGGAAACCTTAGTGAGCTGTAGCAGTAGTCGGCCTGCTCAGAACAGGTTGCTGAAGAAGGCAGCGCCTCTGATTAATTCAGGAATTGTCTGTGGGACAGCAGATGAAGTCTGTGAACAGAGTTCCGCTGTGGCTTTACCTGCAATGTGTGATCTGCAGAGAACTGACTGTGGTGACTTGACCAGCCTTTGTGATTCCTTTTGAACCGGGCTCCAGTTGGAATGATGTAACTTTCGCTTCTAATAAGGGAAAGTGCTGATTTTATAAGCAAAAAATCCAGGAGGTTTGCACTGATCCTTAGTGATACTAAATCTAACAGCCTTAAAAGAGAGCCGCTTGATATTGGGACCCTGCAGCTTGTTTCTATGTCCAAAAGAGGACATAGAAAATACAGTGTTTCTGGGTCTCTAAACAAGTTGCAAGCCAGATTGTACTACCTAGAATCCTGAGAATTTGTTTTTAGAACCAGGCTACCTTTGAAGTATGGAGTTTAATAAATGGGTCATCTGTGGAAGCTTTTTGGTCTTTGATTACTGCAATTTTACAAGATTATCTCGGCTAGGTACAGGGGCTCATTCCTGTAGTCCTAGCACTCTGGGAGGCCAAGGTGGGTGGATTGCTTGAGCTCAGAAACTCAAGACCAACTTGAGCAAGATTGAGACCCAGTCTCTAAAAGTAGCTGGGCATTATTGCAGGTGTTTATAATCCTAGCTGCTTGGGAGGCTGAGGCAAGAGGATCACTTGAACCCAAGAGTTTGAGGTTGCTGTGAGCTTGACATCATAGCACTCTACTGAGGGTGACAAAGTGAGACTCTGTCTCAAAAAAAAAAAAAATTATCTTTGTTTCCTTGCTTTGAATTTATATCTAGAGAGTCCCACTATTTTATTTATTATCCCCATTTCATGAATGTTTGAATCTTGGAGAAATTTCCCTGTGACGTCTCAGGAGAGATGTCTCCCTTCTGAGACACTTTTCTCTCCTTTGAGACACCTCTAATTTTGGTTTGTGCTCCGTGGGTTTTCTCACCAGTGCCGTTGCAACACTTCTCCTCTCTCTTCACCCCCAATGCTGCGTTCGTCCTCTAAGCCTAGATCTTAGTGGTGCCACTTTCCTGGGCTTTTCTTTGACTACCCCATGACCTGTACAGCCTTGGTGATAAATTTTAACTTAATACTCACTTCTAAGATAGCAACATTGATGGCAGCTTAAAAAACTACAAAGTCTTTTTCCCAGAACATGAAGGCTTCACGTGCGATTTTGTTTTCATCCATTACCTGACAATGAGCATTCGAAAAAGAACACAGACATCATTATGGGGAAAATCAACATTTCCAATCTTCCAAACTATACTCCAAGTCTATGATAATATAGTAGTAATATAATTTCTTTTCTCATCCTTTGGGCTCCGTCCTTTGCCTCATTCCCTAAATCCACCTGTCAGACAGATTAGCACCTTTCATTCTTTCTCCCATTTACACTGTGGCATAATGTGAACCCATCCGCTGTCCCCCAGGGCAAGTTCTTCTCCTTTCCTGCTTGTTCAAACACTCATTGCCAATTTATGTGGTCGCTCAGCAATATTAATAAGGCATCTTTCGTGTGACTAACACCAGGCTTTCTCAGGAACAAATGTGGAAGATGATCTGTCCTGTGAGGCTCCGTCCCATGAGGCTTCTGCAGGAGCACGGTATGTCCTCAGAGCGACCCCCCGAGCAGGGAGCTTCAGTGCACAGCTTCCCTAACGCCACCCTGGGCACACGCCTGCCTACACCGTGAGAGCTCTTTCACACAGGGACCCCCCCTCCCCCGGCACACAACATAGACAGTCACAGATCATCTGCAGGCGTGGGCCCATAGCACAAGTAATAGTGACCCTGTCCTGATGGAAACTAAGTTACCTCCTCTCCCCACCCTCCATCCCCTTGTGCAGTGTCTCTTACCGCTTGCCAGCTTCTCCAGTGTCTCTCTCCCACTGACTGATTGCCAATACTGTCCTTACATCGTTAAAAAGATACATCGTTCTTACGCCTTCAGGTAGATTTCCTACTCACTTGCACGCAGCACCTGCCAGCACAGTGCAGCGGAGGAACCCCCACACTGCCTCCCTCCCTCCGGGCAGCACTTTCATCATCTCTTTATAAATGAGATTAGTGAGGCCAGAGGGATGGAGACATGTCCTCAAAACCACACAGCAACTGATCGGCAGACAGGGAGCAGGATTCCAGACTTGTGCTGCCCAAACTTGAGCTCTTCACCTCTGATTTCCACGGCCTGCGAGCGTCAGAGCACACATCCTGTTAGCATTAATTCACACTTCAGAGTGAGCTGCTACTCCAGGCCACTTCCAGTGTGGCTGGAAGGCAATGCAAGTTTCCATATGGCAACGGCAGAAGAGGTTCGAAGGAAGGTAGAAACCCGACGATGGTCACAAAAACCACCTGTGGGTTATGAGGTGGTACATTACATGTTACATGGGTTACTGTTAGGTTAATGTGATTTGGGGGGTTTTCTTTACCAAAATAAGTCATATTTACTACTGATTAGGAAACTCCAACATCAGATAGTTATAAACATTTAAGGTATATTTGCCTAGGCTTTATATGTGTTTGTGTGTGTATATATATATATATATACACAACTTATATATAACCTATATGTGTGTATATATATATAAGAGATTGCAGGCACATATATACATAATATATATATATATATATAAACACATGGCTTGGTTCCTGTGGCTCAAGCAGCTAAGGTGCCAGCCACATACACCTGAGCTGCCAGATTCAAATTCAGCCCAGGCCTGCCAAACAACAATGACGGCTGCAACCAAAAATAGCCTGTAGTCCCAGCTACTAGGGAGTGGAGGCAGGACAATCGCTTGAGCCCAGGAGTTGGAGGTTGCTGTGAGCTGTGATGCCATAGCCCTCTACCCAGGGTGACAGCTTGAGGCTCTGTCTCAAAAAAAAAAAAAAAACCACAAAAAATATATATATTAGAAACATGGTCCTACCCTGTCACCCAGGCTGAAGTGCAGCAGTACATTCACAGCTCACTGCAGCCTCAAACCCCTAGGCTCAAGCAGTCCTCCTGCCTTAGCCTCCTAAGTAGGTAGAACCACCATACCAGTTTAATCAGTATAATTTTTTTTTAATAGAAACAAGGTCTTGCTATGTTGCCAAGGCTGATCTCAAACTCCTGACCTCAAGCAATCCTCTTGCCTCAATTCCCCAAAGTGCTGAGATTATAGGCACATACCTCCATGCCTGGCCTTAAGTATATATTTTTTATAAAAATAAAAGACTTTTTATAATCTCTAAACTTTTTATAATCTCTACCCACTCCCATTCCCACTATTATAAAATCTTTCCATGTGAAAAATATTCATGCTATTCTGTTTTTTTGGATGAATCATAGGCTACTTTATCTTACCCCATTGTTGCACAGTTATTTTCACTGTTTTTTTCTGTCAAAATGGTATTCTGATAAATATCCTCACAGCTACTTTTTTACATGACTGCATTGCTTTAGAATCTCTTTGGTCTTAAAATCATTTTAAAAATTGTTTCTTTTTTCTCTTTTTACTTTTGTATTACGTAATTGTAGATCTGGTAGATGTATAGAAGGCAATCGGTTCAAAGTAGTTTTGTAGCATGAAAATACTCTTTCCAAGAATTTGTCTTTTGCCTGTTTCACTCCAACCCAGCAGAGAGAGAAGGGTGCAGAAAGAAGAATCAGTGCTCCGTGTGGATACATGTTATCTCTTCACAGTTTGGCATGAGTTAGTCCTGCCTGCAGGAATCTCTAAGCATTCTGGTCATGGAATGCACCGACTCATTAAAGGAAGTTGATGTTTATATGGTTATGTAACCCTATTCAGAAATGTCTTAAATATTTTTAGATCTAAACTTGCCTGTCTTCCATGTATTCATTTACTTTGTAATTAACCCAGTTTTCTTTTATCACATAAATGTTTTAATGTGACTCCATCTGCAATGAATTGCCTTTTTTCTTTTTTTTGCATCTTTTCGACTGTCTATCCACACCTGTTCTAGCATCTGATTTATACAAATCTCCAAATGTTACTTCAATCCCTTCTAGCATCATGCGGAAAATGTTAAATGCACTTCAAGAATACTTGTTTCAAAATAGATGTCACTCCAACCACTGAAACATAAACCCACAAATGAAACGAATTCTGGAAGTGACTGTATCACCATCTGAGCTTTATAAGGTCTTTGTTAAAGTTAAAATGTTGTTTTTTTTTTTTTTTTTTTTTTTTTTGAGACAGAGCCTCAAGCTGTCCCCCTGGGTAGAGTGCTCTGGCATCACAGCTCACAGCAACCTCCAACTCCTGGGCTTAAGCGAGTCTCCTGCCTCTGCCTCCCAAGTAGCTGGGACCACAGGCACCCACCACAACGCCTGGCTATTTTTTTTTGGTTGCAGCCGTCGTCGTTTGGCGGGCCTAGGCTAGATTCAAACCCGCCACCTTAGGTGTATGTGGCTGGCGCCTTAGCCACTTGAGCCACAGGTGCCAAGCCAAAATATGTTAATTGAAATTGACATAGCAGATACTCACTAAAGAACTTCCATTATTGGTGTATATATTTACATGTGCAAAGATTTTTTCTGTGATGGATTACTATAAAATTTTAAATGAGATATTAGTTTTGTGAAGGGCCAAGATCTCACCAAATTATCATATGATAATATACTGTGTATAAATTATATCTAGTGCAGCAGATTGATTTTATTCATTTAGATCAGTTATATCTGATCATAAATCTTCCATCATAACTAATTACCTAACATCTACCTAAATAATTTTAATTGGTGAAAAAATAAAACAAACTTTAAAGGGGTTATTGATTTTTTATTTAAAATATTAATTTATCATTCACCAAGGCCAATAAATTGTAATTTATTTAAGAACAAAGGAATAGGGTGGTGCCCATAGCTCAGTGGGTGGGGCACTGGCCACATACACAGGCTGGCAGATTCAAACCCAGTCCAGGCCAGCTAAAACAACAATGACAACTGCAACAACAACAAAAAAGTAGCTGGGCGTTATGGCAGGTGTCTATAGTCCCAGCTACTTGGGATTCTGAGAAAAGAGAATCCCTTAAACTCAAGAGTTTGAGGTTGCCATGAGCTATGACACTACAGCACTCTACCAAGGGCAACATAGTGACACTATGTCTCAAAAACAAAAACAAAAACAAAAACAAAAATAAGAACAAGGGAATGTATCTTGTTGATGTTTATATACTGAATCTAACTAGCATGGAGCCTAGTCATAAAAAGAGTAAGTTCTTAATGTGTGTCTATTGACACTAAGAAAGGTGTATTTTAAACTAATGATATATACCAGATAATAGCAATGAAAACTGAACCACTATTTCCATGTATGGTATTTTAATCTTAGGTACTTAATTTTAAACACTTTTTTTTTTGAGACAGAGCCTCAAGCTGTCCCCCTGGGTAGAGTACTGTGGCATCACAGCTGACAGCAACTTCCAATCCTGGGATCAAGCGAGTCTCCTGCCTCCGCCTCCCAAGTAGCTGGGACCACAGGCACCCACCACAATGCCCAGCTATTTTTTGGTTGCAGCCATCATTGTTGTGTGGCGAGCCCAGGCGGGATTCAAACCTACCACCTTAGGTGTATGTGGCTGGCGCCTTAGCCACTTGAGCCACAGGCGCCAGGCCAATTTCAAACATATTTACTGACATTCTTATTTCTAAAGTCTGGAGAGTTTTATTCATTCTTGTAATGAGTTTTTTTTTTAAAGCAGCTCTCATGTCTCAGGCATTATAGAACAGATAAGGTTTCTCCTCTCATGGAACTTACTAGTAAGTTGATATTATAAAGGTTTAATGAGTGTAAAGTACCTAGGCTATAACATGGACACAGTAAGCACTCCATATGTATTAGCTGTGATGATGGTGATGGAGTTACCCATAGTTGATGTTATTCAAAACCACAACACTGGATGAGATCGTGGGAGATAAGGCAGGTAGAAGGCTAAGGACTGAGCCACGGCACTGCCCAGCACGGAGAGTGGATCTGGGAACCAGGTTCACCAGTAGACACTGAGAAGCAATAGCCAGAGCACGCACCAAGAGGGAGCAAACACAGTCTCAATGCTGGGTAGGGTCTGAATTCAATAAGAACCGGGAATTACAGTTTGGAATTGCCACTGTAGAAGGTCATGCATGACCTTGAAAAGAGCTGTTTCTATAGAGAAGTGAAGAAAGCTCAATTGGAATTGGTGGGAAAGAGACTGGGGAAAAGGCAGTAATGAAAGGAGAATCTCGAATGGCTGAGAAGCGTAAGGAGGGACACTCAGCCTCAGCAGAAAGCAGAGGACTGCAGCTTCAAGCCACAGTAGGACACTATCAATACTCTTTAGGTTGCCAAAAATTAGCAAAATAGCTATTTCTAATGAGTATTAGGAAAGCAGGATGCTGTGTTCCGAGAGGCGGAGTGTAAGCTGGTGCCTCCATCCTGAGAACATTCCGGAGGGGGGTGTTTATGTCTTTGCCCTGACCTCATCCTTCTACCTAATGTTACTCTGGAGACACTGCAGACGGGCTCTCCCACAAAGTACACAAGATGTGTAAAAAACTTCTGTTTCAGGATTATTCGTGGTGGCAAAGTGTCAGGTAACATGGGTTCCATGAATATCACACATTTTAAAAGCAAAACAAAGCAAACACCCCTCCTGTTGCCATATGCCCCTCCGGCTACAACTGAGTCCTCTCCCCTCTGCTATTACCTTTCATGCTGTTTCAAATTCATCTCCTCCCTCTGCCAAGCCCCTCAACAGGTTTTCTTCCCCCTTTAAGTTTTGTTTTCTTTTGTACTTTATGCTCAGACTTGACTAGACTCCTTAGTACAAAATACGCTGTCATTCTTGACCTGTGCAGCAAGACCCTGCTCTAAATAGTATGTCTATAAATTTTTTCTAACAGAGAATAATATATATACACATAAGAAATGTGTGGGGACCCATCACCCAAATTTAACAAGTTTTAACATGTTGCCATAGCTGCTGTATAGCTGGTTAAAGATTAAAACAGAGTTAAAACCCCCGTGTTTATTGTTCCCCATACAAAGATAACCACTGGCGCACCCAGGCCCATGTGCAAGAGCACGGCCCTCAAGATGAGGGTGATGAGAGCTGAAGCGGAAGTGGGGGAGGGGCCTTAACACCACCCAACAATGGGATGGGTGTAGTGCCCCCCCGCCCCGTGCCTGCCACTGTTCCTTCTTCACTAGATTAAGTAATTTAACCTCAGAACCATCCGTGCAGCACTGACCATTTTACAGATAAGGAACCTGGGGCGCCTCCCGTCATAGAGTTAGCAGGAAGCAGACCCAGCGATGGGAATTGGGTAGTCCAGTGTTAGAGCTTACCCTGGCACCTCTATCTTAGGGTGTTAAGAGTGCTGAGATTTGTTTTTGGGGGTTTTTTTTGCAGTTTTTGTCCGGGGCTGGGTTTGAACCCACCACCTCTGGCATATGGGGTGGGCGCCCTACTCCTTTGAGCCCACAGGCGCTGCCCAAGAGTGCTGAGCTTTTGTTCATCCTTGTCATCAATTATCTCTATAATTTACAAATAAAATAAAATAAAATAAAATAAATTCAGCTTTCAAAATCTCCTTAAGAATAAATTTCCTCTGACCTCGGGGTGCCCCGTCTTCTGCTGTTTCTGTTACACTCTGCTGCTTTAACTTGGAGTCTTTTTCCTCCATATAGTACTTTGAACCAATTCTTAAAATTTTTGGTGTTTTCTTTAGCCAGGAAGTTTTACTCTTGAAATTATCTTTCCACTATATGGCTTTAATTCATTGTTTTCTAAAACATTATAGTAACTTAATATCTGCTCCACGTGACTATAAAGTTTTGTATCATCCTATAAAATAGCTAACCACGAATACCTTTTATATCTGTCATTGCTAGAAACCTTTCAGAATGACAAGATTCTCTTAAATGTCTAATTACCCCAAATCTGATGCCTACGTAATGCTATCCAGCGAGCAGCTGGCTTCATATGAAGAGAGGCTAAGAGCTCCTTTTTGTCTTGTTCATTTAAAATCATTTGCTTCTTATTTAATATCTGCAAAGAGCACTGTCGCACAGTAGAATTTGCTGTTGTAAATTTTGGATTGTTTCCATGGGTTCCGCCTTACATCTGCATGGTGTTTAAAGCCAATGCCTGCTTTCTTTTTGTAGGCATTTAGGGCCTTTTGCCTCATAATCCAATGTCATGCTGAATAACAGAAAATTGAAGTTGAATTTATTTAACTATGGAGAAGCACGGTGCAGAACAATACACTTATTTAAGAACTCCTTGCCTCAGAAACTGAAGGAGCTGTTTCGTGCAGGTGGCTTAATCTCTTTGCTGCCTACCCTAACTATGTCTCTTTATTTATTCAGGACAGGAAGTGGGCACTCTGCTTCTGAAAACAAAAAGACCCTCCTAGTCTACCAGAACCCATCATAAGCCAGAAGGGTGCTTATCCTTCATTCAGAACAGCAAAGATATACCCAGTGCTTTTAAAAAAATAACCCTTAGCACTTCTCAGTAAGAGAAAACATAACAGACATTTTTTAAAAAGCCATTAAAATATATTAATCACCCCTGATTATACACTGGTGGGCTTTTTACATTATGGCTTATTTATGATGAATCTTTCTTCCTCAAGTCTCTGTGGTACGTTCTCCTTACATAAAATGGTTTATTTATTACTCGTATTTTTGGTTTGTTTACTTAGTGAGACAGCCTTCAGAGGTTTCTGTTTTTGAAAGTAAAACATGATTTATTTTCCCACTTTTACTCAGAGATGCTGTAAATATATA